CTGGTTCTGTAGTTAGGCTTCCTGGCCTGTACCATCTCCAGCTCCATTTTCTTTCTATCAGCTTCAAATGAACTTCCATATGGAATTGTGCAAGAAGGCCCTGGGGTGGCAGGGCTAGGGGACCAGTTAGTATAAAGAACTCAGGGAGGAAAGGGCCACCCATAAATGAACTGGCCTCTTAGAATGCTGCAACACCTTCAAGTCAAGGGGGTCCTCTGACAATATTTAATCCAACTCCCCTTCATTTGTAGAGGGAAACAGGCCCAGAGGAAGAAGGTGGGCCCTGAGGTCCACCCAGCTAACAGGAAGCCCCACTTCCCTGGCCCAGCAGCAGGCAAGAACTGGTGGTAGTCTGGTGGTTTGAGAGAGGTGGTCTGGTCTGGAACTGGGTAGCTGGACAGGTCCTGTTCCTCTGTGCATGCTGTTCTCACATTGTCCTGGGCCCTGTCATCCCACCCTTCAACCTGCTCAACATGGAGCCTCAACTGGCACTGTGCTTGTTAACCAAGTACTCCCCAAGGACAGACTGGTCACATAGCATCATTTCTGGGTCTGAGGCCACTGACTGATAAACAGATTCAATTTGTGAATAGATTGACTCAAGTTCTGTATGTCCCAAACAGCATCTTCCATGTTAACTGTGGGCTGAGAATGCCTTAAGCCAAGAAATTTGCAAAGATGACAGAGTCTAGAAGTGAAAGGGTGTGGGCAGAGGGGACAAGAGGATGTGGGGAGGGAGCTGTCTCAGGTGGTGTTTTCACCTGTATTTTCTTTTCCAGGCAGGGTATGTGTGTATGTGTATGTGTGTGTGTGGGGGGGGGGTTGCAGTTGTTTGTGTAGTGTGTGTGAGTGCAGTGTGTGTGCAGTGTGTATGTGGTATGGGTGCAGTTGTGCATGCACAGTGTGTATCTGTGGTTGTGTGTGTGCAGTGTGTGTGTGTGTGTGTGTGTGTGTGTTTATGTATGTGTTGTTGTATGCTGGTGTCTTGACAGTGTGGACCCATGCAGAGTCCAAAGGCTTTATATCAGGTGTCTTCCTCAGTTGCTTCTCCACCTTATTTTTTTTAAGATTTATTTTATGTATATGAGTGTTTGCCTGCATGTGTGTATGTGTACCACATGCATGCCTCATGCCCACAAAGGCGAGAAGAAGAGTCGAATACCCTAGAACTGGAGTTACAGCCAGTTGTGAGCCACTATGTGGATGCTGGAAACTGAACCCAGGTCTCTGGAAGAGCAGCAAGAACCACTGAGCCATCTCTCTAGGCCCTTATTTTTTTAAGATTTATTTTTATTTATGCATATGCATGTGTCTGTGTGAGTGTATGCCACATGTGGCAAGTGCCCACAGAAGCCAGAAGAGGATGTTAGATCCTTTGGAGCTGGATTTATAGCTACCTGATATGGGTACTGGGAACCAAACTTGGGTCCTCTGGAAGAGCAGCACAGAGCTCTTGACCATTGAACCCCTCTCCAGCCTCCTTCATCTTTTTTTTTTTTTGGTCTTTTTGAGACAGGGTCTCTCTGTAGCCCCAGCTGTCCTGGAACTCACTATGTAGACCAGGCTGGCCTTGAACTCACAGAGATCTGCCTGCCTCTGCCTCCCTAGTGCTGGGATTAAAGGTATGTGCCACCATGCCTGGATCATCTTATTTTTTTAAGATAGGGTATCTCACTGAACCTAGAGCTATTTTCAGCTAGATTGGATGTCCTGCAAGCCCCAGGGATCTACCTGTCTCCCTACTCACCCCAAATGCTGGGGTTGTAAGTGTGCAAGGCCATGGCTGGCTTTTTGATGTAGATTCTGGGGGCCTGAACCATGTTCTCACACTTGTACATCAGGCATTTTACCCACTAAGCCATCTCTCTAGCCCAAGGAGGGAATTTTAATGTGTAGCCATTACCATTAAAGGGTCAGTTCCCAGGAAGAGGAGGGTGGTCTGTCCCATTAGCAGGCCTGAGATAGGCAAGAAGACTTTGCAGTGGAACTTATTGGAAGGTGATGTGTCTGAACTCTAGAAAGAAGGGGAGAAGTAGACATTTTAGCTGATAGGAGGGATGGAACCAACCAAGCTCAGCAGGAATGAAGGCACGAGCAATGTTCAGGACTCTCATGGAGGAATGAAAGGGCAGTGGAAGGGAGAGTCCTTCTCCCCCATCCACCAGCCCTGCAAGGGCCACAGGAGTAGGTATGGCAATGGTGTGGTCAGGACCTACTATGTTAGCGTTCACAGAAATGTCCCAGCAAGCCAGTCACCTTTGTAGCAGATAGGGACTCTGTCAAATATGTGCCAAGAGAGCTAGGAAAGGAGAGACCCAGAGAGGGGATGATGACTGTGCTAGATAGCTTTAGTGTCAACTTGACACACCTGGGTTGAGGAAGCCTCAATTGGGGAATTGCCTCTATTGGACTGGTCTGTGTTCTGTGGGGAAATTTTCTTGATTGTTGAGTGATGTGGGAGGGCCCAGCCCACTGTGGGTGGTGCCACCCCTAGGCAGGTGGGCCTATGTAATATAAGAAAGCAGGTTGAGCATGGGCCAGGGGAGCAAGCTAGTAAACAGTGATCCTCCATGGTCCACATTCCAGGTCCTGCCTCCAGGTTCCTTCCCTGAGTTCCTTCTTTGGGCTCCCTGATGAACTATGGCCTGGGAGATATAAGCTAAATAAACCCTTTCCTCCCCAAGTTGGCATTGATCAGAGTATTTTGTCACAGCAATGGAGAAACAAACCAGAACAATGACCAAGCACCGTCACAAAGACTTCATGTGACTTTCATGTAATTACAACTAAGGTCTTCTATCCACAAGTTGGGGTGGAACTTGGGGTGGGGTCAACATTCTATTTCCTTAGAAGCCTTGGCCCTCACCTGCCTGGGTATGTACATGTATCCCTCCCTGTCCTATACCACCACTAACCTGTCTTCCCTAAAAGTCAGACCCTGAGCTCTATAGCAAGGGCACCACAGTCAGAGCCCTGTCCCAGCCTTAGACCTGGGGTGGCGGCTGCAGTTCCAGGAGAGAGAAGAAAGGATAATGTAGGGTTTCTATTCAAGGAGGCTTCCAGCTGTTAGTTCTGCCAGCAGCAGTGCCAGCCAGAGTGCTAAAGTGCCAGCAAAAGACATTTGGATGGAGCTTTGGAGGCCATTAGGAGCAGGGCCTGCAAAGCAACTGTAGTGAGAAGATATTAAATGAATTCATCATGTCTTTAAAGTGAGTGTCCCTACTGCAGAGGTGCTCTTTCTTCTCCCACCCCACCCCCACAATGGCTCAGCCCATAGTCTATGCCCCTGGGAAGTATGCCATAGCCTACAGAGTCCTCCGCTCCTGCATGGCCTATCCCAGGTTACCAAACCCCCATGGGACTGTCAGTTTATTTGAACCCCAAATGCCAGTTTTTATTGGGGGGAGAGCAGTCCGTGTAGTCCCACTGGCACAAGAACCCTAGAAAAGGCAGAATTTGAAAAAAAGCAGTCAGAAAGAGACAAGGTTCAGGATAAGGCTCTCTAATGAGGCCTGCAGGGTGTCCAGACACCACATGAGTACCCACAACCTTTTCCCAAACACCTACCTGGGCCCTAGGCAGGGTTGAGGTTTGCTTTCTGGGATCTGAAGTGGATAGACCTGTTGAATTGGTTGAGTAGCAGGCAGCAACTTTGTCTTCTGGAAGACTCCTGGGATTCTGCTCTGTGGCACCCCACACTGGCCTCGACTGCTCCCTGTGGCAGGTGCATGGATACACAGGGTATGTATGTGGAGTCCCCTGTTCCTTTATCAGCTGTGTCCACTCTGTTTGGAGATACTGGTCCTAAGGATCCCCTGTACCATAATGCTCTAGACCTCATCATCCCATCACCCTCCCAAGGGTGCACTCTTCCTCCATTATCTATGTCAAGAAACCAGGGGACGCAGACTGCTCTGGCTTCTTCCATGCTGAACAGGGACACAAGGTGAGGCAAATAGAATTAGGAGATCTTAAGCTAGTTCCTTAACCACTGTGGGCCTCAGTTTCCTCATCTGTAAAACGAGAACAGCAGTTTCATGCATCTTCCTGGGGTTGTTGTGAAGATAGACTAAGACAGTATATGCCAACAGCTTAGCCCAGGGCCTGGTCCAGGGCAAGCATTCAATAATTGGTGTGTATGATTACTACCGTTGTCAGCAGGGCAGAGGCAAGGAGAGACAGGAAAGGAAAAAGGAGCAAGGGAGCTTGTTGGCAGGATCCTGATCCCTAGGAAGTTTTTTCAAGTCATGAGTAGGAAGGTGCAAGGGAAGGATAATGTGTTTGTATTTCTAAACCACAACTTGATTCATATCTTTCCTCTTTGGCCCTAATCTGGGCTCTCAGCCCTTGCTGTGCTGGTGCTCAGATGTTATAACAGGCCTCACAGCCACAGGCTGACAGAGAATTGGGAAGTGCTCGCCCCACCCCATGTGTCGCCCTGAGGCCCTTGCAGACTGTGCTGGCTGGCCAATACTCCTGAATGGGCAGGGCTCTAAGAGCCCTTTTCCACTGTGTTATCTGTGCTTTCACCAGGCCTCTCTCTGATGTGTGGAATGACAGTGCCTGACACCTCCCTCATGCCAGAGGCTATCTCATCAGGGGAGTGTGTGATTGGTCCCCTCCACATCCTCAGCACCACAATGGGGGAAACAGGACCAGAGGGAGGTGTGTGGACACAGGAGGCAACACTGTCCTTCAGATTGCTGCTAACACTTCCCACACTGTTGTCCTGTCCTCTCCTCTGCAGCAGGGCTGAGCTGGGCCTAGATCAGAAGAGCCCCTAAGCTCACCAAGGGGCGGGGACAGGGTTTTCTAAGCTTACTCCCTGTAAGGAGAAGATGGGACTTGGCTTATAGCCACTGTGGGATATGTAAGCCTTGATTCAAACCAAGTTAGATACTACTTGATTTCTGATAATATTCTAATATTCACATTTTAACTGTAATTCAGCAGTTTAAAATTACAGCTTGGAGCTATGGTTTTGGTAGATAGAGGTATTTTATTAAAAGACTACTGTACTTTTATTTAAAGGTACATTTGTGGATCAGTAAAAAAATAATTTAGGGTGTTGATTCTAGATTCAACCTCACATTTCATTCCAGCTTTGGCCTGTAGTTCATTTCAAGTCCTTAGCCACCAATCTCCCACTCCTTTCTCCAGGCCTTCTTCCCATAACAGCATCAGGCAAGTGCCTGTGTCCTCCCACAGGTGCATCACTTCAAGGGATTCAGTCACAGCTTCCTGGCTGGCCACAGGGGTCAGAGTTTGGTCTATAATACCTACAGAAATGAATCCACTTAGTAAAGTCCCAGAGAGGAGGAAGGGGAGATAGGGTAAGGAACAGACACTAAATGTGCATATGTATGTTGGGTGGGTCTTCCCCAGGGCAGCTGAAGGCATGGGGGTCTGAGGTACAGCCTGGTGGTGTGGATCCCAATGGCACCAACAAGTTCCCCTGGTTCACCTTAGCACTGGTTAGGGGGGGCCCTAGAGTAAGCAACAGAACCCAAAATCCAGAAACAGCACTTACATAAAGACAAAAACATGTGGCAAAAGTGACCTCAATTAAAAGCTGAAGTTTGAGGTACCCAACAATGGTGAAGACAAAAAAGAAAATCCCACACTGTTTTGTGCCCTGTGTCCCTGTCTTGACACCAGCAGACACCCAGCCCCCACTTGAAGGCAGACATTTGGGCTCCAGATGTCCTGCATTTCCAAGCCAGAATCCCCTCAGCACTCAGCTAGCACAGTACTCTCTGGGGGCCCAGGTTGAGGGTAGCAAAGGTCTTCTCCCATGTTAAAGGGTGGAGATGGACAGGTGGCCACTGCCCCTCCCCCAACCTAGAAACAACCCTCTATACCACGGAGAAACGTGGCAACTGTCCCAACCTACCCCAAACTGGAAGCCTGGAGTAAACAGCTGGCAATGGGCCAGGCACTGCTGGGGACAACAGGGGATACTGAGTCGGGAACAAAAACACAGGAGGAGGCTCATGCCAGAGACTCCACCATCCTGTTTCTGGGTACCATGCTGCGGGAAGATTTCTCCCCCCTAAAATCCTTTCTCTGGAATCTTGACATTACAGAGGATTCTCAGTACTGAGAGGATTCTCGTCTTCCTCTCCTTCTCGCACAAGGAGGCCTCCCTAAGACAGTGGCGGGGCCGGGGAACTTGTCCAGGCGCAGCAGTCAGGCCGAGGCGCGCGGCTTCAGGCCTCCGGCTCTCGGGGATGTGCAGGTGGGCGCCCCCGACACCTCCCAGGTCGGGGAGAGTGGGCTCCAGAGAGCGCATCTGCGAAGCAAATGCATGAGTTAATTACACAGCCCGCCCTGCGCGGATAATCCAGGTCCTGTCTCGGCGCGGCGGGGAGGTCGCAGCGGGCGCGGCCAGGTCAGGGCTTGACAGGCGGAGGGTCGGCGGGGGTCCAGGCACGGGAGGGAAGGCGCTGGCCCCGGGGCGCCCCTCCCCGCGGCCCCGGCGCCCCTAGGAGATTTCTGCAGAGCTCGGCGTTCGCCGAGTCCTACCTGCGGCCACACCCTGCAATCCAACCCCGGGCCAGGTGAAGCTGGCGCTGCACAAACATGCAGACGGCCCCTCCTCGCGGTTCCCGCGCCCAGGTCCCTCCCGCGGAGGGCGGGCCCGGCACCCGCGGCCTCCCGGGGCGCTCCCCGCTTCCCGCTCGGCAGGTGGGTGCAGGGCCGCCGCGCAAGGCCCGGGATCCCGCTCCGGTGGGCGCCGCGTCGGGGGGACAGGCTGGCCGCAGGCACGCCCCCTGCCCCGGCTTCCCAGTCTCCGAAGTTCGGTGCTGGCTCACCTCGGAACCCGGGCTCGGCGACCCACCTCGGCGTGAGCGCTGACAGGACCCGAGCGCGCCGGGACACCCGCGCCCTGGCCACGCGCCGCGCTCCCGCCCTCCTCTCCTGCGTCCCACCGGCCGCGCTGCGGGCGCCTGAGTTCGCTTTGTGGCTAGGCGGGCGGGGTGCGGTTCCCAACGTCCTGGACTCCAGCCAGCCGCAAAGTCCGCGGGGACCGTCTCTACACTGCTCTCACGGTGTATTTCTCCCTAGGCCCACGGAGGACTGGCCCCGGAAGGTCCTAGGATCTTCCCTCTCCTCCGAGCCCTAGAGAGCTGACTGCCGAAGGGAGAGAAGAGAAAAGGCAAGGCAAGCGGCCTCAGGAGGTGAGTGACGGACCTGCAGTCCCAGACCCTTCTCCGGTCCTTAATGCGGGGCAGGGAGGGAGGGACACTGAGCGGGCAGGTGGGCCTCCGAGCTGGTCCTCCAGGTAGTTAAGGCAGTGGTCCCATGTAGGTGCCATTTCTCAATCCACAGAGTTCGGGATAAGTCACTTGCTCCACCTCAGCCACATAGTAGGCTTCAAATGGCCCGCCCTGTCTTGGTCCAGCCTCTGATTGACATCAGGTTTGATGACCCTCGGAGAAAGGCAGTGTCATGCAGCTCAGATGAGCACATGGGAATGCATGCTTGGGATATAAGAGGATCTGGAACAGGAAGGGTGATGGCAGGCCCAGGTTTGTGCTTAGCTAACAGTGCCTCAGCTCTTCCCACACCTAGGGAGCGCATTCAGTGTGGGGGTGCTGCTGGGATTACTAAGGGCTAAGGCACTGGGTTTCAGGATGCTGGCTGCATTCTGTGTATTTTGCCCTACTCTAGGTAGTTTGCTTTTTTTTTTTTTTTTTTTTTTTGGTATTTTTTTGAGACAGGGTCTCCCTGTAGCCCCAGCTGACCTGAATCTTGGTATGTAGACCAGGCTGGCCTCGAACTCACAGAAATCTGCCTGCTTCTGCCTCCCAAGTGCTAGGATTAAAGGCATGCACCACCACACCCAGCTCTAGTTAGTGCTTTTTAGATTCCTCTGACTTGTTTTTCTATGTGAAAGTGGGAAAGGGTCCCCAATTTATGTCTGTTCATTTTGCACTGATGTGAATTCTTGGGTCATATATACTACAGTAGGCTAAGCATGCATTTGGAACCACATGGAGGTGGGTTCAAATCTTCACTTTGGGGTGGGGTGTGATGGTACATGTTTTTAATCCCAGCATTCAGGAGGCAGAGGCAGGCAGATCTTTGTGAGTTCGAAGCCAGCTTGATCTACAAAGCAATTCCAGGCCAGCTGGGACTACAGGGAAACCCTGTCTTTAAAAAAAAAAAAATCCTCACTTTGCCTTCATGTCTGTAAAATGGGGGTCATTGTAAAGTGGGGATGATAATGCTGTCCTCATAGGGAAAGTTGTAATGTGTAACTATAATGATTACTGTCCAATAGGTCAGGAGGCCACCCCATCAACCTTCAGCTGGAAGGGTTTAAGCTATCCTAATCTGGGGACTTTTGAGAACAGGGTGGCCATTTGGCAAGGTGTTTGACCTAAACAATAGGAATAAAGTAAAGGCAGAGAACCTAAGGAGAGCAAGTAGTAAGAGATACCAACTCACAGTCTAGCATGGGGAAGGGATCATTTCTGGGAAGGAGAACCAGCTTTAGAGACAAAAACAGCAGCACTGTCTGTACATGTCACCTGGTGTCTTCTCATTTGTTTACAGGTAACCCTGAGCATACTGTTACCTTCCATGCTGCTTGGGGCTTTGGCTTGTAGCTTTTGGTTCCATCTCTGCTCTGAGTAGCTGTGTGATAGGGCAAGTTATTTGGCTTTTCTGGGCATTGTCATGGTGAAGGAGCTTGCATCCCACCTCTACACTTAAAATCTAGGATACTAGCTTTTCTCTGAACCTCAGTCTCTTCATCTGTGAAATGGAGCTCAGAATAGCTACATTTAACCATTAGATGTACTAATTAAAAGCACCTAGCACAGCATCTGGACAGTCTATGTGTGCTAACTCTTTTTCTTTCCCATTGCCTGCTGTTTTTAAAATGGGCCCAGTAAAGCAGGTTTAGCCTACCTCATGGTGGTTTTATGAGCATAAAGCAAGGAGGTAAACAAAACAGAGATCTGGAAAGTTAAGGGCTATAAAAATATAAAGCAGTCTTCTGATTGGAGACTGCTGAGGTTCTTTTGACTAGGCATTGAGAACTTGGGCTTCTGCATGGAGTTGGTTGAAATCTGACAGTAAGAAGGTCCCTGGCCTGCAACGCTCTGAAAGCGTGGCATTCTTCAGGCTTCTTCTCAGAGACAGCCTCATGCTCAGGCTAGCCCAGTGCTGTATACTGAAGGGGAATGGGCAAAGACAGGATTCTAGGTAGAGTACACAGAAGTCAGAGGGCTACACTGGTGTGAGCTCCTGCTGGACAGCAGCACTGTCCAAGCAGTCTGGAACAGGGCCCAGACCAGGCCTAAGTCAATATTGATCTTCCTGGGCTGGTCAGCCTGGTTCTTTGGCCTCTTATTTAGCTGGAGTGTTGACACAAACCACTGAATGAGTTTCATCTTATTATTCTTCTAAATAACAGCCCATTTATCTCTCCCCTGGGATTCTCTGGGGCCTGTGGTGGAATGATGACAAGGACAGGGAGCTTAGACCTGCTGCATCTCCATGGGTCACACATCTCCCTGGGTCACTCAAGTGGGGTAACAGAACCTCTGGGTACTTCTAGCTTCCTAGGGCCTTTTATACCTCAACACAGTGGCCCTGGGTAGGTCTACAAAGCCCACAGGCCACAGAGCAAAGGACCTTGGCCAGATCTAAGATCTTATCCTGAAGGTGACAACTGTGCGAAAAGCAGGTGACACTTCCCCCTGGTGTGTTTTTGGGAGTCAGAATAGAGTGTACCACTTCTCCCGATTCATGGGTCATGTAAAGAGGAGCATATGGCAGACCTGGACCCAAGTAGAGGCTAAGCAATGAGGGGACTGAAGAGCCCTTGGGTAAGGACAGGAGCTTCCTGTCACTGAACATATTTGAACAGAAGGCCACCAGGTTCCTCTTGGGAATGACACAGGAGGCTGAAAATCTGGGCAGAGGCAGAAGGGCAGGTCAGATGCACTGTGGTGTGGGCATCTCTTCAGCTAGGACAGGCTAAGCCACAGCAGCATCTGCTTGGAAGAAGCAAGCTTAACCTGCATAAAAGTAAGGGTCTTTTCTTATTTACCATGGTCTGTAGAGCTGGTACATATTATGATTTAATATTTAGGGTCAGGCATGTTAGCACACACCTTTGATCCCAGTACTCGGGAGGCAGAGGCAGGTGGATCTCTGTGAGTTCAAGGACAGCCTGGTCTACATAGTGAATTCCAGGCCAGTTGAGGCTATAGGGAGACCATCTCAAAAAAAGACCAAAAAAAAGTAAAGGCTGAGAAAAATCGTCCTGGCCAAGGAGACAATTGAGACCATCTTCTGTTGACAAAAATTTCTAACCAGTGGGCTAATGAGCCCACCACTCCCCCTAGAAGGGTAAGGTGACAGTCCCAAGGTGAGTTTCAAGGAAGCAAGCAGCCGTGCTATAGATCTCAGGGTTTCAGGACCCAGCTCTGTAGGGAACAGGATCCTCTACAGGCCATGGTGGGTCTGGATAGTGGCAATAATGGGTATTTTTCTAAGTTCTATAGAATCCCGGGAGTTTGCCTCTGTCTCACAGTGTGATTCTATGGTAAATCCTTCCTCAAGGTGTCTTAGGACTTGACTGGAATCTTGAAGGCTAATGGCAGCCAAGTTTACCTCAGGCTCCAGGATGGACTGTCTCCTTCCTTGCTGCTGTGCTTGGATGGATCATTCATCTTTGTAGCCATCTGGATCCTCACCTGCATGAGGCAGATGTAACAGCACTCCTCACAGACTTGTAGACTGGGATCACATATGTGACACGCTCAGCCCAGAGCCTGATGGTCTAGCAGGCCCTCCCTCAGGGATTCTTACTACAATTACCCAAAAGCCCCCTGAATAAAAACACTATCACTCTCCCTCGCTGTGCCTGAAACTAGCAGAGGTGAATGAATTCTTTTTTTCTTCATATAAATGCCGAGGCCTAAAGAAGAGGGGTAGGCCAAGGTCACAAGCCCCAAGGTCTCTGCTGAGCTTTGAGCCCTGGACGTGAGCTCCGATAAGCATGCCCAGTCTTCCTATGAGGTAGCTGGGACATGCCTCCCCAGTATCTTACTGGCACCCTGAGCTGGATATTCTCCACTGTTTTGGGAACCAGGAGCTGTCCCTCCTCTCTTGACAGATACCCAGAAATAGCAGGGATTCCCACCAGCCTCATTCCAGTATCCCAGAACTTATACAACTGGCCAAATCCAGCCCTCTTCAAAGGAGCTGCAAGCCCCGCTAGACTCACTTTCTTCTCAGCCTGTGGTCTATTCTTTGAATCCTGTAGTGAGCTTAGTGTGTTTTCCCTGAAAGGAATTCAAAGTGTGGAAGTCAAAACTCACCCAAAGCTTGGAGGGTAAGGTAGGTGACCACATGGGACACTCACCGCTAGTGAAAAGCAAGATAGGTTAGGAGAATAGCTGCCATTGATTCATGATAAGAGCCATCAGTGATTCCCAAAGAGGAATACCAGAGCATATTAGGAATATATGTACACCCCCAAGGGGTCTGTTCATGTCTAGGCCCTCTGTAGCTCTGTCCTGGATCCCTGAGGCCAGAGACTTCTGGCATGCCAGGCCCTGACATATGATAGTCTTCTCCCCTGGAGGAGTAGTATTTTCTCCAAGAGCTACTCTCTTATCCCCTGGTGGACGCTCTAACTGCTCTCACTTGTGCCTGTGGAATGGTGGCATCAGATATGGAACGATGCCCACCGCTCTGTGAGCCAAGTTGCTTCCTTCCCAAGGAGCTTTGTTTTTCATGTATGCTTGACCTGGACTATCACAGCTCCCAGTGTGATCTTTTTTAAGCATTTTGCCAGCCAAACATCATGCCACATGCCTTTATTCCCAGCACTCTGGAGGCAGAGGCAGGCAGATCTCTGTGAAATTGAGACCAGCCTGGTCTACTGGTCTACATAATGAGTTATAGGCCAGCCAGCTGGGGCTACAGGGAGACCCTGTCTCAAAAAAAAAAAAAATATATATATATACAATACACCCTGATTCTGTATAAGGTTACGGTCATTCTACAAGTCAGGACAGTCCCAAGCTCCTCTAGGCTCTGACTCACAGACAAGCCCCAGGTGGACTATAGGGAGAAGGCCCTGTCCCCCCTCCCACACACTTCATAAATTCCCATGAGTTTACATCAGGCCATCATTTGGACACTGTTCCCTACT